ATTTCGTATTAGCTTATTTAATTTCTTCTATAATTAAATCAGTTTTTATTTTATTTAAAAAAGTGTAATTTTATTATAAAATGCTTCAAGAATATTTTGAAAAAATAAATTAAAGCAAATTGAATTAGATTAATTTTAATTACTTAAAGTATGTTTTATTATATTTAATTCAAATGCAATTGCAAATATTTTTTACATCTTACCCTATATATGGAAATGATATGCCTAATTAAATTTGTTATAACAACTACAGCTGATAATAATTTATAGCTGGTATCTCCACGAGGCATCAGAGATGAAAGTGTATATACGTAATCACACATCAAGAGTTTGTCAGATATCAGTAGGTCAAAACATATAATAAATATGTAATATTATAAAAATAAACAGTGAAGTATCAGGGAATATCTGTTAATAGATTAAGTGTGTATATGTGTGTATATGTGTGTGTAACTAAATTGTTAGATTCTATATTTTTTATTCTAATAAAGAAAAAATAATTTTTGAAAGATATATTAAAATTTATAGATTTAATTATTTTTATAAATATATTTTTATTGTCTAATAAATTTATATAAATATAATTGACTAAGCCGTTGCATATTTAAAATTCAAATAAAGTATTGTAGTTAATTCAAATTAAATATACTATAAAAACAAAAAAAAATTATATTAGCGATAATATTGTAGCAATTAAATTTAATGGATTACTAAATTTTTTTATTGGATTCATCAATAATGTTCAGGTATTTTGTTTTTTCCCTTATAAATAAATATATATATTTTATAAAATATGTATATATTTATTTTATATATATAAAATGCAGACAGTTGAGAATTAAAATCACAGAGCCTCTAAAATTATTATAAAAATATTATTAAATTTTACTGTTTTCAATCAGGTAATGCAATAAATCTTAGATATTAAGAGACACATACTTCCTGCATTTTAATTAAAAAAACTTTTTATTAAACATCAATAATTCGTATAATTAACATTCTATATACATTGTTATTCATTAATCCATGACAATCTGTTATAAATTAATACAAATGAATAAATAAATAAATAAATAAATAGATAATGAGACTTAACAACAATTATTATAATCAATTTTTCGAAATTCTTCAATGTAAAGTAAATGAAAATTAATAAAAAAATACGTAGTACGAAGAGGCATAAAGTTTCTCTTTTCCACCATCATCATAGACATTTATAGTACAGGTATTCCTTTTAGTTGTATTTTCTAAAGTTTCCTACAATTTTTTTAGAGCCTTGCGTTGTTTGCTTGTTGAATGCAAACAATGAAAGAAAATACAATTAAAAAGAACAAACCTTGTGTTATTGAACACTCTTTAATATGCATTTGCTAAATCACTCAAAACAATATAGAGATTGAAACGCTTTCATAAGTAATACCCGTAAAGTTGTTGTCAATATTTATTTTTATAACGCGGTCAGTAATTTATTATTAATAAAATCCAAATAGTCTATTTAAGTATATATTACTGTTTTGTTAACATTTCAGTCTGTAACAACTATAACTTGCATATGATATAGATCAGCTATCTTATCAACTGATTGCTTAAGGACGTTTTGCGACCAGCAATTCTTATCGTACTTGGATCAAAATCGATCGCATTTCGTTGCGTGAATTTCTCAAAATGTTTCTGTAATGATTAATCGAAATTTAAACTATAAAATTATTTTGCTTTTGAGCAATTCCAGATCTATTTCTGAAAAGCGACATTTCCTATTGCGCGATTTGAAATGCAAAGTTTGTAATAGACTTTCGTAAGAAGGATTGTAAAAACGGATTTTTTAATGGAATAATTTATCTAATAATTTGTGCAAATAACCTATTTTGTACAAAATTCATACGTTACGGTATCATCATTCTCGATTCAATTCGAAAATAATGAACAAATATAAATTAGAAATTAATATACAGCTAAATTCCTTTCGAACGTCAGAGAACAAAAATTATTTATGAAATTTAGAATTTAGCGAATATAAGTGTGTCTATTACTGTTAATCAAAGCTTTTAATAATTAATTTATAAATACTTCGATAAGACTATCTTTGGGTTTGTTTTTTAGTTGTAAGTTTCTGTAATTTCGCTTTCAATCCGTGCGGATTTAATTTTACTCTTACGACATCAGATTTACTCTCGTACTTTCTGCGAATTTCCTCCATTCGTTCCTTTCGTATTCGCTGCTGTTCTCTCTTCCAGATATCCTACAAAATATGATCCATTGTAATTTGTTTGTTTTAATAATTTTATTATGAATATTATAAATTATGAGCGTTATAGCTCTGCAAATTAGCGCGAGACTCGTAAATCAGAGGTTCGAATCCCGATCCCGATCGACGATATTTACAAACAACGACGCTCCTCTACGGAAGTCTCTGGCGAACCGCCTAAAGTAAAAAATTCAGCCGAGAAAAAGCTCTATATTAGCCGTTCGGAACCGGCGTAAAATTGTAGATCTCATATATCCATGTTAACAATACGCGCATCACGGATATATACAGGGATATATGTGAAAGGCGTCGGAACAAGTATCGAAAGATGTCATAAAACTTTATAGATAGATATTGTAAATTATACCTTAAAATCTCGACAAAAACCAAGCCACAGAATGAAGAAGTCATAGGGTTCTGCGGTTTCCAGAGTGGAGCCTTTAGGAACAAATTGATAAAACTTCATCACAGCTTTGAATTTGTTTTTAGCCTCCAATAAATCTTCTTTTTCACTCGCTAATTCGATATTCGCTTTCGTCACAAATGAATCTACTTTTTTCTTAAATATTTTGGATGTAGCTGGATCTGCTTCCACAATTGTACTACACATTTGTGAACATGCTGAAACAAATTAATTTCATTTATTTGTATATATTTCTATAAATAATATGTAACATCCGATTATAAAATAAAACAGATAAAATTAAACGAGAAAACAATAATTATTTCAATGAATATAATATTTTACATTCATTGAAACTAATTATTCATTCATGTACATATTTTTATGTGCACGCCTATGTAGTTTAGATCAAAATTAACACAAAAGAAATAATAATGAAATCATTTTGTATTATGAATAAAAAAGCAATCAGCAAGCAACCAAAAAGCACTACTATGTACTATATTAACATTACATGGATTAAATGGATTAAATTAACGACACAAGATTTATTGGATAAAAAAAATCTGATAACAAACATAATATGAAATTATCTTCTATATCTGTCGAAGTTTAATTAAGGTAATATTTTATAAATTAAAAAATTTTTGATTGATATATCATCGGCAGCATTATTTGTAATATTGCTCACCTTGTAGCTCCTTGTCCAATCTATCGAGTTCTTTAGCGATATCATCGAACTTGATCGTAGATGCGGCTTCTACGTCAGCCGGTTCAGGCACAGGTAAAGGCAACGGCTCTTCGAAGTTATGCTCCTTTTCCTGGGACAATTTCACATTGACGACATAGTGCAACAAGGTGATGCCGGGTACGTTAGATTTCACGTCCTTTAATTTGCCAAGAATTTCCAAGCCGAAGCCATCGGCCTGTCCGCGCATCATATTTCCGCCGTTCATGTAATTACCCAGAGTCAATATAATGGCCATTACTTTCTTTAAAGGCTCGGAGTTGATCAGAAAATCACAGGTAGTTCGCACGTTGTTCAGCTTATACGAGACCGACGAAATCGCGTCCTGGAATTCCGATTGCAACATCAGGCAGGCTATTCTTTCAGAGAAGTGTTTTATGCCAGATAACCGTTTGAGAAATAATTCTGGCTGATCGAGAGGAATGTCCGGATAAGTTGCTTCATGAGCTGCGATCTCTTCTATTTCCTTCTGCGTGGGTTTCTATAAATCAGGTAATATTAAAGTGACTCCAGCGAAATTTGATATACTTAGGAATAAAGAGAAATGAGTTTTATATTCGTATTTCGCAACTTTAATTATTACATCTTTATCTTATGATTTATATATATATATACTCACGATTTCATAAATTTGTTGCAACGCCTCCAAACTGATAACACTTGTATCTAAATTATAGGCCGCATTCTCGATCTCGCTAAAATCAATGTGTAAGCTTTTTTCAAGAATTCCCACCATTTTTGAACGTTTCGAATCCAGTATTTTTGCAGGTTGAATCTTTGAACTTTTGGATATCCCGTCAATTTTTTTTCCCGCCAGATTCTTTTCTCTTACTTGCCGCGAAAATAAGTCGGCAAATTCCTTCATATTTAAATTTTTCTCTTCCGCAAGTTCTAACCACAGAGGCACCTGTAATACAATAAAGATAGTTACTCAAGAAGAAATCGCTATTTCATCAATAGAAATTTTTTTTTTATTATATAATCTTTGCCTTTTGTTTACCTGAGGTGACAAATCTGTAGTGTTTACAGAAGTCTGACTGGCCGAAGTGACTGGCACTAAAATCCTCGTCCAGTAAAGTGGCTTCATAGGCACATCAGGATTTAAAGGTTGCTTTCTCATAACTACAAAAGCAAGGAACTTGTGTTACGCGGTGCAAATATCGGAATCTCAAAATCAAAAGAAATAATAGTACAGCGTACTCTCGATTGACGAAGAGGAATTATCGAGAGTACCCTGTACTTTTGAAATTGTGATACCTACTAGCTCTACTCGGTGGATTCCATCCTCCGGCCGGTGGTGCAGGAAGAGGGCAAGGTCCAATTGTCCCTGGGGGTGGCGGCGGTGCCATTGGCGGTGGTGGAGGACCCGCACCTGAATCTCCGATGGGAGGTGGAGGTGGTGGAGGTATGTCACCCTGCATACCAGGCGGCGGTGGTGGAGGTGGTGGACCAGTCTGCGCAGTTCCAGGTAACGGAGGTGGCGGTGGAGGCACCGCGCCAATAGCATCTGACACGAAGGAAGGCGGCAGAGGAGGTGGTGGTGGTGGTATCCCGCATGTGTTTAACATCGGTGTAGGCGGCGGCGGCGGTGGAGGAGGTATCCCAGTCATGGTAATTTGCATAGACGAAGACATGTCACATGGTGCACTTTGAGAAGGTGGCGGTGGAGGAGGAGGTATACCACTCTCAATAGTCTGGATCGGTCCGGTTAGAAATGGAGGTGGAGGTGGCGGCGGAGGTGGTGGTGGTGGAGGAGGTATCATATTTTGTAGAGGAGACGGCGGAGATATCGCGCTTATGATGGCCTGCATAGGCGGAGGTGGAGGGATCGTACTCGTAGTGCTTGACATCGGCGTGGATGGTGGCGGAGGTGGAGGAGGCGGCGGAGGTGGAAAAGTACTTATAATACTTTGGGACGGCATGGGAGGAGGTGGGGGTGGTGGTACTGACATTCTAGAAACGTCCGTTAATTTTGTTGATAATGGAGCTGTCCTTTCGTCGCCACTTCGGGCCGATTCGGTCGCAAGTATGAACGGAGACGGCGGCGGTGGAGGCGGCGGAATGAATGATGTCGTCGATGTAGATCTCAAGTTTTTCAAGAATGTCTCTGATGGTAATGGAGGTGGTAATGGTACTGGATACGCTGCCAGATCTTCGCTAGATGCGTGGGTCTGATGCGATAAGCACGACCGATCGACCTTGTCAGTCGGTGTGGAGGAAAGCAGAAGAGTCATCTTAACTTGGTCGAGATCCGTAACGTCACTGAGCGTTGATCTACTAGTATCCAATTTATTTCTTTCACTGGCATTTTCATCAGCCAATGATAAACTGCTCGGTGAGGTCTGAGTAGATTGTCCCTTGGTATTTATTTGTCGATCTATAGATATCTCACGCAAACGATTAAGCTCATCTCTCAGTTTCTTCACCTCTTCCTCGTACGAATGAACATCTTCAAGGGTGGAATATTCGCAGCAGGTTTGGCTCGATTTAGTTCGAGCTGAAAGAGGCTCATCTGCCAACGTGCCAGTACTTGTCCGATCTATCTGATTAAAACAAAACATTCCAAAGATAAGTAATTAATAGATATATTAATTGCTGATAAAACTAATAGAAATGAGGATCTTACCAGGGATGTAAAATTCTTCTTCACATCTTTGTTCGATAAGGCAGAGATCGTAGAGATTGGTAATTCTTGTTCTGAAAATTCCATTAATATACAAAATGTAAAATTAGCCCTCTATTGTTGAAATCGCGATAAAGCTCAGCAAATATTTTCTCCCAATCTACACTCTTGATTGTCACTTGATAAATCTCTCGCAAGTACTAAATAAATTTTTGAGCAAACAACTGTTTAGTCTTAAACTTAAGTCTTATATGAGTAGAGCGTGAGCGACATTTGTATCTTTATGAACTTGTGATCCGTCCTAATTAACATATTGCATGTAGTAAGAGCAATGAGCGACTCTTTATCGTCCTTATCTCGTTTTATATTCAAGATGAACGACTTTTTTGTATATGCCTTATCGTCTAATCACTTTATCACTAATGCAATTTCTAAGAGCACGTAATAAAAAAGTGTCATGTCAATAAACAATATGAAATATATAGAAAACTCTGGACTAACTCTGAGCTTCGTTTCTGCAAACGTTCGGAGCTCTCATAATGGTAACGTCATAGATTACGTTGCGAAGGAAGAATCTACTCTTCGAAGAAGATCAACTATATTTTTCAATGATTACGATTAAAAATAATTATAACGTGTTCGAAATCAAAATTCGAAATTTTTTTCATTTCAATCGCGACGATTGACACGCGTAATACACACGTTGTACACGGTCGAAAAATGCAAATGCACTTTTTCTGTGGCGGTCATTTTTCGACCATTCACTTATATATAAATTAGAATATTAGGCACTTCTTCATTTCGCGAGAATTCCGAAGATTTTATTATTTCGGTCCCGGATATTTTATACCCGCGTCGCTCCGCAAGGCACTGTCGCATCTCGCTAGCGGGCGGCGGCAGAACACGACGATCCGGACCGAACCCTGCGAACCGCCCCATCGATAAGACTTATCGGCAAACAAGCGTGTTTGATTCGCGCGTATCACTCGCTGTAACCTCGGCCGCGAATGATACGGATTATTTGGTGACCGTTTAAAAACACTTAATCGACGCCGCCGACGATGAAAGAGTCGATTATCCTTATCACCGCGTTCGGCTTAATTGCCGATCGCGATTATGATGATCGTTATCCACCGGTATTACGACGCCTCGCAATTTTTCACTCGAATGTCTCCCGCGGATTACGTCACTCGTGTATAAAGGTATACTCGGGTATATAAAGCCGCGGCCGTGTTTACCCTCCGTTATCGCGCGTCTTCTCTTCCGTCACGAGATAAGATTCGCGTAAAACCTCGCAATCGTTAGTGCGCGATGGATTCTAGGCCGTACGCTGACCTACACATAGTCATAAAAGTGTTCTTACAAGTGCTTCATCATTTTTATGCCCCGATTTCACGAGATCTCAGAGCCATAGAGAATCTACGTTGCACCAGTTACCCTGCTTCCGAAAAATCATTGTCACTTCACTCGAAAGGAAATGATTCGTTAAAGCATCAAATTGCATATCTCCGTTGAACAATCTCTATCTTGATCGTCTCTCCTCTCACCTTTAGATTGTTTCTGACGATCCGTTTTCTGGCCGATGATATTCTTGAAATTCCTTCTTTTCTTCGTGCTATTTCGGTCCAGAGTCATGCTGGCCACTCTTCTCAGCACTCTGCCTTCGTTTGTCGACGACTCGTAGACGCTATGTCGCCTCTGCGGAGTGCTGAAACTCGGCACCGATATTGCGCTTTTCTCGCTCGACGTTGTACCTATAAACGAGATAATTTCGCTTGATATGTACCGAAGACATATATTATATTAATTCAGGTCCAACGTTCATATTACGCAATATTATTTGAGTATGACTTGTACAGGTAATATCACAAATCTATCTTTTAACGCAAATTTATCTACATCTACGTTACAAATTGTTAAACACATTTTCTTAAAATTACCATCGACTTATTTAATTTTTCAGTAGCGTGTTAGTCGCTCGGAAGACATGACTTTTTTCTTTTTTCAATTACAAAATTAATAAAATTATTCTCACTTCGGGGACTCATTACTGAAAGATGGATCTTCTTGTGCTTCGAGATCGTGAACGAACTCTTCTCAGCCTCCTTGTCGGTTTCCGGGATCGGTTTATGTTTCATCACTTCCGGTCTCGTGGCCGCCGTGACTGGACTCATGGTGAGTTCGCCGGGATCGGTAAAGACACTGTCGCTCGAGGACTCTTGACTGGGTGGCGTCGGCATTTCCGTAACAACCAGACCCTTGTTTGCCAAACGCCATGAATCGGTCACCAACAGTGGTGGCAGCTGGGTTGTCTGCGGTGTTGTCGGGGTCTGGGCCGGTGTCGTCGTTGGCGTCGTGGTACTCGTGCGGAAAGGCTCCGTCGTTGTTACGCATGGCTTCGCCGTTATTGCGGTATCCTTGCGACATTCAGGCTCTACACTTTCCTGCGTGTCCTAATTACAAAGCGATTTTACACTACGACTGCTATTCAAGCCAGGGGATACAGATACGGCATGAAATCTTTTTTCCTCTGTCATTCAATTGGCAAAGTTCTATTTTCAGTGATTAAAAACAACAAACTGCACGAAATCTCTCGTCAAACCTTGCCTTTCAGAAAGCCTCTTCTCCCGATCGATAATTTGCTAATCCGTCTTGAGATGGAAAAAAAAGTGGTACCAAATACCTTAGATAACACGACCGTCGGTGGCGGCGGCGGTGCCTGTCTCTTGACGTGTCCCGGCGTGTGCACCTTCTCGAAACTGATCTCAGTCGGCTCGCGTGATTTGTCGCGCCTCTCCGGAACTTTGGGTGGTTGGTCCCGCTTATCTTTCCTCTGGTCCTCGGCCGTCTCGAGCTCATCCGCGGACGTGGACGTTGGTACCGTCGCGGGCTCCTTCCTCTTCAGTTTCTTCTTGCTGTCGCTCTGCAGATTGCCCATCGTGCTAGGCAGCTCTGGTGTCAAGCTTTCCAAGTTGCCCCAGGAGTAGAACAGTCGGATGTTGTTGACCCAGAGGTGGAAGAAGTCCGACAGCTTTGATCGCGACGACCGCGCCTGGGCCGCGGCTGCGCCTTGACCATGGCGGGCCTGCATCCGTGGTCGATAATCGGGAGCTGCGGCACTCGCGATCACGGCGTCGTCGTTCAGACGCTCCCGTCGCGCGTTGGTCGCTGCGAAAGTAAGCACGGAGAGTTGTCGTCACATCGCAAATTTTGCCCGGCGTGCTTGCGACGACTTGAATTCAATAACGCAACCGCGCAGTCCAGGACCACTTACATCAATTTAATCAAATTAGCTTAGTACTAGCTCTAACTAACTAAGCTTTTTGCTAACTGCAATATATAAAGCAAATAGCGTAATTCTTTTAAGTCCTATGTTAGTTAGAGCTGGAATTAGCTAAAAGCTTAATTAGGTTGAAAAAAAAGCCAAAGATCTAGATCAAATTCTTGATAATCTAATTCGCTTTGTAAAACTTATTAAGATTGCAATAAAATATTAGAGGTCCAAAGGCAAAGAATAAGTAATAATCTGCAATTATTAGCGGTTTGCGAAAAGTGCGTAACTAATGAATAATAAATAGCAAATTTATTTTTTCATGTTACGTTTCATTAAATACAATCTTCAATATTAATAAGCTAAAAGTCAAAATTGTATTAGTGATCAATGAACGATAAAAATCTCGCATATCGTAAAATAATAATAAATGTAAAATAACGTATAAAATAATATATGATGTGTAAAACAAAGGCTTTTCGTTAAAAAAAAGAAAATAAAAAGTATCGATTGACATTGTTCGACACTAATTGATCTTGAATTACCTCGATAACTGGATATTTCTCGGATATCGTTGCGTAATCGGATATTGATAGTGCCAATATTAATAACCTTATGTCACACGCAGTAACCAAGCGGTACGGCGTGTGCTATCACCTGAACACTAACTGAATATGCCCATATACAGGACATCGATCTGTTATTACCAGAGCATGTATATATATATATATATATATATATATATATATATGACGGTGTCATTGGCAACTATTATTATCTTGAACTCTTGGGATTGATCGTGTAATCTTTCCATAGGAGGGCAAAAATGGGGCAAAAAGGGAAAACTTTTATGCGGATTTACGTCGCAAACATGATAACGCAATAATTTCTTTCTTGACAGACATCGTACTATTACACAAAATTTTCTCTGATATTCAAAATGATAAAAAGGTCGGCGATTACGTAATACGTTCTCCAACGAGTTCGAAGTTTAGCGATAAATCTTACGAAATTGGTTACCGGCCTCTGCGCCGAGCGAAATTATTCGATATTGCGTTGATATTTTTTATCAATATGTATGAACATGACGCGTGAATCAAATCTGAATTATGGAATGCGAACGTTTGTCGACGATAACTTCTTAAGTGAAGAAACGAGATCTCATTTAGCTTTATAAAATTTTTCGCACAGCATCTTACTTTATGAAAGACTCGTTACAAAATTGAATGTACCATTCAATGGTCGAGTTACAATCGGCATAATGCACAAGTATTTTCTTCAGTATAGCATTCATTGATTACAATAAATAAATAAACTGTTGCGTTCTTCTTATCTCGTCGTTATTGATATTTCTTTTTGAAATTACATCTTCCATTTTTTATTGAGTCGCGTATTAATACCGATAATTATACGAAATACACTAGCACAACATTTTTTTTTCACTGAGGATACACGTAACGTTTTTAATCACCAAAACTTCAGAAATAACGAGTCGATACGTCGCCACGTGGTGACGTCGGTCACGCGATTAGAACGCGGTATCATCAGTGCCTATTCGTTGTTGCCTATTACTTGCCTCGGAAAATCAATTTTGGGGGATACTTCAAGGACAAGAAATAATAGCATTATTCTACAATAGTAAACTCTAGCATTCTTCTACAATAGTAGAACTCAAGACAATCCTGATTAAAAGTTATATGCAGCGCCTTTATTAAATATGGGACAAATTAATTGACTATTATAAATTAAAATATTTCGATAAACCTTTTTTAAGAGAGAGAGAGAGAGGACACTTCTTAATTTTTCACATTTAACTTTGCAATTAATTATTTTCAAAGTTTTTAAAATTTAAGTTAAGATTTAAACATAAAAATTGTTATTTTGTTTGTTGTATTCAACATTTACCGCGAAGCAAAGTATAACAGTTATTTAATGTAATTATTTATTGTAGTTAAATATGTGAAAATAATATACTTATACGATGTGCAAGAGATAATAAAAATGTTCTATTAAAGGAATATCGAATAATCTTGTCTACCGCCATTATTTATAATACCCTCGCATTTGACTGAGAGTGCGGGAAAACTCGGCGATGTTGCTACATTAGCATTAGCTTCGTAACACTATTCTATCATAGGAAATTAGAATCACCGTCAGGATTTCGAAGGATTACGGGCATGCTCGGTAGAGTCTCGCGTGTCAGAGCAACTTATTTCTCAACGCTAGTAGCGTGCCGTGTAATTTGGCGCGATGAAGAAGAAGGGTTGCGTTGCACATCCCGTGCGTACCCCTCTCTTACCTGATTTTCTCGCGTTTCGACAGCACCGTCAGCATGTTACACGTTGCACCGTGCGTTTCGCGCGTACTACTGGAAACTCGCATCTCGTCCATTATCGATTTTTGTTCTCGGCGATGTACCGCCCCGCGCATTTTTCACCGGCCGCTCGCACCACGACTGTAAAATATCGCCTCGGTTTCCGAGGGAAACAGGAGTATCGTGCAGGGTGAAAAGCCCTTACAGCGTTTTATCGAGCATGAGAAGTGGGAGGAAGCCCCGGACGGCGCAAACTCGGCATGCCATCGAGCCCTCGTGGTCGATGTCTCGATGCCGAGGTCGACGAAGGTAAC